TTTTTTTTCTCTCGGAATGTCTTATTTGCACAGTAACTGGAGGGATCTTGACGTAAGTGAAAACTGTTGGGTTTTATCTTTAGGCAGGAAATTTTGTTGACATGAGTCTACGGTATCATTGTACAGTCATGATGGAGCAACTTCAGAATACCTGGCCACTCACGCCCTTTATAAATCGAGTGCTCCCGTGGTCCGCAGTCCGCGCTGGGCCAAGAAATAAAATATACTTGCGAAGAGAAAGAATAAAGTGCTACCGCTGTCAAACCCACCGATGTCGATGAATAAGTAGTAAACTAATTTATAAACGCAAGTGCTACTGCGGCCCGCACTACTGAAGTGGATAAATAACTAGTAAAGTAATTTTTAAACTCAAGTGCTACCGCAGTCCGCAGTCCCGCAGTGGATGAATAAATAATAAACTAATGTTTAAACTGAACTACTACTGCGGTCCACAGTAACGAAGTGGATAAATAACTAGTAAAGTAATTTTTAAAATCAAGTACTACCGCAGTCCGCACTCACGCAGTGGATGAATAAATAGTAAACTAATGTTTAAACTGAACTGCTACCGCGGTCCGCAGTACCGAAGTGGATGAATATGTATGAAATGAGGCGTTCAAATAAAGTGCTACCACTGTGCGCACTACCGTAGTAGATGAATATGTAGTAATTTAATTTTTAAACTCAAGTGCTACCGCGGTCCGCACCCCCGCAGTCGATGAATAAGTATTAACTAACTTTTCAAGCGACGTGCTACCGCGGTCCGCACTCCCGCCGTGGATGCATAAGTATTAAACTAGGTGTTAAACTGAACTGTTACCGCGGTCTGCAGTCCTTTAATAAGTAATAAAGTGAGCTCTAACCCTAACCCTAAGCCTAACCCCTAACCCTAACCCTAAACCAAAACCTAGTTTGAAGTGTTATTGGCACTCCTTGAATAGGCAACTCGTTTAATAAGCAATGAGTTAAGCACTAGGATAAAGTGCTACGGCCGTGTAAATTCCTAAACTCGATGGAAGCTTATTAACTTTACATACCTGGTTTAAAAATACAATGAAATACAAACATAGAATGAAAACTATACTTAGAATGTAAGAAAAGTTACTTTTACTGAAATGTTATTTTTGAAAAGCAGGTATTAAATTCCAATGTTAAAAGCGAAAACGTTTCCATTCAATGAAATGGTTTCTGAAACATTAATTTTAAAAAGGAAATCTAAATCTATTGCCATGAAAGTTTTTGTTTTTCTTAACTTATTTCTGCTTGTCCTATAGAAATGGATTTTATTTATATGTTGCTGTTTCGAGATGTGATTATTGTCCTGAAGATATTTTCTCATTGGAACTGTAATATCATTATGTAGAGGCCTGGCCAAGGCATTTTCAAATTCGTTTAGACTGACATCTGTACAGTTCGGCCAAGGGTTTAGCTTGCTTTTCACAAATACCTTGCAGGTGCTTTTTGCTCTAGGTATTCTAAATTCCACAATTCTTCCAAAGCCATCTTGCATTAATGATTCTGTAGCGGTGTTAAATTCACTTTCGGCAATTGCACGCGCTGATCTTTTGCCATGTTTGAAGGAACGATAAGATACCACAGGGCCTTGGGTCATTAAGACGTTGTCCCTGATCGTTTTTGTGGTGGGCTGATCGATGCTTTTATCACAAGCTGCATTTGTGACTTCTTTAAGGAACTGAAAAAGGAGAAGAAACTAATTTAAAACAATGTAAGTCAACTAGAGAAAGTTAGTTTTCACCTCTCATCAATGAGTTATCCATTACAATAGTCGGAAAAACATTACTGCATTTCTGGTAATATAGAGGTGACCCAGGCTAACTATTTTAGTCACGTAAACAATTTTAAATAGAGAGAACATATAGGGCGAAGTTTAGGTATGGAAATTACTCCCTACTTTGAAGGAAAGGATTAAGAAGATTATTATACCTAAACTAACTGTACATATTAGGGAGAAAAAATACTCGCCACATGTTAAGTTTCATGGATGTATATTTCCATGTTTAAGTGAATTTCAAGAACTAAACTTGTCCCCATATGTTCTCTCTATTTAAACATGCGTACGTGACGCAAAAAGTGAGCCTGGATTACCTGTGGTAATAGTTATTTAGTTCGTGATTGACTCAGGTAACGTAGCAGAGTAGTTTTAAAATTAGTTTAGAAAAACAAAACTAATCGTATCACATTGGCCAATGACAAAAAAAAAGAAAAAACAGAAAAAGCGCGGAAAAAAATTCGCAACCAAGTAATGATTCATTTTCTTTTACTTCAAATTGCCTGAGATATTGAAGAAGCACGTGTTTGAAAAACATTCGCTAAACGGTGTAATGGAAAACTACGGAAAATTACTGG